TGTTTGGTGAAAAGTCAGTGAAGGGTGTTGTGATTCGTGATAATTTTGAAGAGCATCCCAAGAAGGTAATGTCAGAACTATCGAACAACTCATATTACAGCAAAGACTTCCTTTTTGATGATGCTATATCTCTTTTTAGCAGATTTCAGAGATACTTGTATAGACAACAACTTGTTCTCAACTTTGTTTATCCTTTTGAGAGAGAATTGCTCCCAATTCAGTGTCAGAAGTGTTTGTATACAGGTAAATTTTCTTGTGAAGTCTGGGTAGATGAGAATCAGAACTATAACTAATTTTTTCTTTAATAAGTTGAACACGTTTTCTTGATCTATGATCCAGATATAATGGACATTATTCCTGAGAAGTTGAAAAAGGTGAGTGGTGATTTGTGAGAATCTTTTGATGAACTTCTGGTAGTAGCCAGCAAGATCAAGGAAGAAGTGGATCATTTTAATAGTCATTGGTTAAAAGAAGCTTTTAATCTTTTTCATGGTAGTTGGATCCAGCGAGATTTCATCCTGACTGATGATATGTTCAAGGAAAGGTAAGCTATTTCAAGTAAATTTGTATTTTTCAAAATTTAACTTTAATTTCACATCTCGAATTCACTGGAACATCAATTTCAGATACTGTAAGTGTTCGTTGAAGGTCTGGGAATACACATTGATGTCATCAATGTATATCATCATGAATTTCCAGTTGTAATTACCAAGTATAACATTTATCACTCTTTGAAACATGGCAGATGCATTACACAAGCCAAAGAGCATCACTTTGAATTTGAAGAGATCTTCTCTTGAGATGAATGCAGTCTTTTCGACACTCTGTGATTTTATTTCAATTTGCCAGTATCTGGAAGTTAAATTCATAGATGAGAACCATTTTGATTCACCAAGACTATCTATTATCTCATCAATTCTTGACAATGGGTAAGCATCCTTTTTGGTTATTGAGTTAAGTCATCGATAGTCTATACATAATTGTTTCTTCCCATTTTTCTTAGTGATCACTATAATTGGTGAAGACCAGAGACTACTGGACCGTTGAATAATTTCTGCTTCAAGCATGTGTTGAATTTCATCATGAATAAAATCTTGATCTGGAAGAGTTGCTCAATAAAGTGTTGTCGAATAGGTTTATTAATCTCAATTTCTATTTGATATTGAACCATTTTTGCGCATCCTAATGCATTGATGTCATTCGTAAAGATATCCTTGTAAATTTCTAATAGTCTTTTTAATTGTTCGGCCTGATCTGAAGTTAATTTTTATTGTTTGATGAAATTTTTGTCTTTATTTTTGTTTGGGAGGTACACCTCTATTTCGTTTTTTCCTGTCGAACCAAAGTCACAATCATTTTGGTAGATCTTTCTTAGTTCTTCATGGGTGTTCACTAACCAGATTTTAGAGATCTTGACAAATTGCAAGAAGATGACCTAAGCGACACGTTCGTTCAGCTCAATCTGATAAGATTTTTTAGAATTATTGTATATTAGTACTTTAATATTTTCTGTATAACTGGCATCAATTATTTCTCCTTTGACTTCTATTCCTTTTTTAGCGAGAGAGGATTGGGATATTAATTGGTATACGATTCCCATAGGAACCTCGAAGATAATATAGAGATCGATTAATACCATCTGCCGTAATATGACTTGAATGAACATTTCTCTGGGGTATCAAATGTCAAAGTCAACATCTGTTGGATGAGCTCATTTAGGTAATTTCCCTTTCTCTTTGTCGTTGTACACTTTAATCATTAAATTCATATTATTTATTTAATTAGTCCAGTTTCAGTTTGATTGGTTGGTCAGACTGTACGTAGTCTGTATATTTATCTAGGCCACAAGACATTAGGCACTCCTTGCAAAGTTAGACATTAATATACTTCAAGTGAGCTAGTTGTATTCATCAATTGGAGAAAATCTGCTGGTAGATTTTCATAAATATCTCCTGTGCGGAAGCATCTTTGGGACCAGAATAGTCAACCCACATTATTTCTTTTTTCACATCATATTTGGTAATGTGTCTATAAGGATAACTTTTTCTATCTCATTACATTTGTGATATACATGCAATAGGTTATTAGTGTTGCAAAGCTTTTTAATTGTTCCCTTATTCCTCTGCCAACCACTGTGGTTAAATATGTAAATGCATTATTTCAAATAAGAGCAGAAATAATTCATCAAGCTGTTTGTCCTAATGATATACATTTCTCATGCTAGAATGCGTTGTTTATACTGGACGCAGATTGGTAGATTAAGTCATTCTCTTATAATGCATTCTTTACAATATAATTTTTTTGTTTCGTCCTGTTCACAGATTGTATAAGACTTCGCTCAGTTCATCAATTGCTTATATCCTTTGCAGAACACCACACGTTCCTTGAGCTGGAAGTAGACAAGTGCACTTTCTTTTGTTTTGAACTTTTCTTCTGCGAGTTTGATCTTGCCAGGGGTTTTTCATCATTCAACTATGGTCCTTTCATCATTTCTTACAGATTTGTCGGATAAAATATAGGAAAGATTATTTGGCAGATTGAGTTGGGTATTTATTCAGAGAGTGAGCTCCTCGTAGTAGTGACAGCATTCGTCATCGAAGTTTTCTAGTCATTGTCAACATCAATATTCGACAATAGGTCTCTTTCAATCAAAATTCTAATGCAAATGAGATCAGACTAAGGATGCTTGCCTAAATCCTTTCAGAAAAATATCATCATAATTTCGACAGGTTACACACTAATTGTTAATTAGAATTTTGACATAATTTTGATTACGACGGGTTTCAAAATTCGTCAGAATTTTGACGGGTTATTTACTAATAGTTTATTATAATTTCGACAGAATTTAGACAGTCACTAAGGGATTTCGGCAAGCAACCTTAGATTAGACTTGATTAAACTTATCCTGTATTCAGGTATATTCTCTTCAGGTAACTAGTTTGTTTCACATTTCGATTCCTTGCTTACTGATCTTTACATTTTTAATCTTGTAGAATTTATTAATTATATGACGGGAGATTCCTTCAAATTTGATTTCTGTTTTGTCTTCAATTTTTGATCTGTCAAAGTTCTAATATAGGAAGTTTTGACTTTCTAGTTATTGTTTCTCAACTTTATAATCACTATCAGAGAATTCGTCAGTGGAGGAGCTGGATGTTTCAGTTTCAGTTCTGGTTCCAGGTGCGTTCAAATTTCTTTGTTCATGGATGAATTTAATATTGATTCTTCCTTTTTGATTTCCCTATTCAAAAGTCATTGTTCCCTTTCTCACATTAATGTTAGCATTTACTTTATTTAATCAGTTCATCCTGACTATCACACTATAGGTTCTTGCCTCAGTGACATCCACTTAGCTGGAATTATAATTCCATCAACCATAATCAGGAAGTCATCGATAACTCCTAAAGACTATTTGATCTGATCATTGATGTCAAACATGATAATATTTGACTTTCGCTGGATCTTTATATTGTTTTTTTGTATGAAATTATGACTGATGACACATCCAGAGGCATCTGTATCTATAATGAGATCTATAAATACCATTTTGACTTTCACTTTGCACCAAGCTGATGTCATTCTGATCTTGGTCTGGATCATCATTCCTGTGGGTCATTTAGTTCCTTTGTATTTCAGTAATTGACGTATTCTCTTGAACATTTTCATTCTTTGTACTGGCGAGATTTCAATCAGTTAGGTGATCATAATATTTGCTTTAGTATTCGTTAAGTCATCAAGAATATTGTATGGAATGGACTGAGAAGCCAATACCGGTAGTTTAGTTTTTTCTTTTCTTTTTTTTTGTCTATCAGTGCGATTTCTTCAGTTTTCTTGGGTGGCTTAGATTTAACAGGCTGAGGAATATTATCTACAGTATCTTCTGACTGATTCTTTTGAGCCTGTTTGCATTCTTCAAGATATTCATGCATTGCAAGGAGAGTTGAACTGGATTGATCAGCTAATGGTGTAGTTATTGTAATCGATATTGCTTATAGAACAGCAATAATTAGTTGTATTTGTGTTAGAAGAGTGGTATTACTGTTCATAGTCATGGCATTGTTGCTTGTGGTTTGGATAGGAGCAGAATTTGCAGTCACATTGGGATTATTATTTTGAATGGTATTCCAATTTGTCTGTAAAGACTAGCTCTATTGAAAGTTTGATCCTTGACTATTTATATCAAGCAGATTTGAGCAGTATTGTTGGATGTGTCCAGTTTGTCTGCAGCGGTAGCATTTTAAGAGTCCCTGGGATCTTGGCTGACTCTGAGCTGGATCATTGCTTCTTGATAAATAATATCCCTTCCTGTCATTTTTCATGCGATTGAGTCAGCCACTAAGATCCTGGAGCGTTTGGGTAATAGTGATTAGATCTATGGCCGTGGTTTCTTGCATCTGATAGTAGGGCTGTATTAGTAATTTTGAGTCTGCTTCTTCCACTGTCCTGGCCACTTCAATTATGTTGTCCAGCATTCCATCAGAGTTTATAGTAATCCACTTCTTAATTTCTGGCTTAAGTCCTCTTTTGTAGGTCCTTATTTGTAATCAGCCAGGTAATCACCGTCAGGGTCAACTTTTTTTAATAATTAGATGAATTGATTGGTATATTCTTCAATGATTTCTTCTTGCTTCAGAGTTTCGAGTTTGTCTTGCTACTGTTCTACCTTCTGGTGATCCGAAATTTTAATGTGAATTGGTATTTGAAATTGAGTTCATTCTGCTGTTGATTTGTCCAGTCATTTAATTGGGAATTGTCATTGGTATGTCTTTGGTCAAACCAAGTAGCTGTAGTTTCTTCGAGATAACTCCATACGATTTGGATTTTTCATTCATTGGTGATTCCGTTGGCTCAAGCAGCGATTTCGAAATCTTGGAGCCATTCAACTGGATCTTGGTTTTTATCTCAGAATTTTCGTATTGGTATAAGAATTTTTTCAGATCTTTGAACGAGGCCAGCATTCATGACATTACTAAGGTGAGTTAAGGCTTCTAGTAAATTATTTATTTCAGCCGAATCTCAGAAATAGAGTAATTGTAGCTTTGTGGAAGTATAATGGTAACAAATTCAGATAATGGAACACTTGTTTCATTTGATATTTTCATATTAAGTGAATTATTATTGTAATCGTCCAGAGATGTCAATACATTATCAGATAGTTCAGCCGTAAAAAAATGATGTTCAGAATTGGTGTCGTGACAGTTTATAGAGCTCTCCATCTATTCCAATTGAGTTTAAAGTTTAGGTTTTTCTCGAAAGCATGTCAACATGCATTTTAATGCTCACTAAATACTTACGGTGTTTTCTTTTCTTTTCTGCATCGCTTCGACAGACTGAAATGTTTGTTTTTAGAGAAACGCCAATCAAAACTCGAATTTTATGTGTGTATGAACAAGATTCTAAAAATGGTAACTTCTTTCGAACTTTAATAAATGGGTGTCGGCCGCCGGATTGTGGCTAATTATAATACACGTGACAGATGATCGACAAAACCTGGCACAGATTTCTTGCGTGCTTAGTGTTAGAAATCTAGTATATGTACATGTGTTTGATTGGCTGAAAGCCATAAACGATCAAAATTATGCTGAATTTTGGCTAGCATTATGAAAAGTGTACAATTTTAAATATATACCTCTGGTAAAAATAATCCGATAAATTGATAAAGCTTGACTCGACCTATCGCTATGGTTTAATTTGCCAAAATTGTCATTCGTCAGACGATTTGTCATTCGCCACTTACATTTCCAAAGTGGCGAAAGGTTTCGTGAAAATCAATACGTACATGTACTACGTAGTCATATATTATTGATATGTATGCATTTTGCGCATTCGTTCATTTACAAAAATGTCAGGCATCAACTAGTATTTTATTGGTCAGAAGGTTTCGTCATAGGTTTCGTCAGTTTCGCCATTCGTCACAGGTTTCGTCATTCGTCACAGACATTTTCAAAATGGTCGTGACGAAAGGTTTCGTCAAATCGACGTGACGAAATGTTTCGTCATCGTCAAATATCATTAGTTCCGAACCAATACTCATAATGTAACCAAAAAATGTATATATAGAGACCTCGCAGATGTTAATAAAGAAGCAGAATTAAATTGCGTACAATTCTTCTCCAAGTAAAATTAGACTTTTAAAATTGTTGTAATTGATTGTGGTTAGGTCCTTTAGTCCAGAAAAGGCGTTGATATTGTTAAACGGCATATTGATTGATTGATTGAAAAAGCGCTTTGTAATTAAACAGTTTAAGGCTTTTAACTAGAAAAAGCAATGATTGGAAGTTAATAGGAAGAATATTATCGATAAACCGTCACATAAAAGCATAAAACCCAAAACCATCTTACCCAAAACCCAAATCTACTAAATTCCCCTCTCTACCATCATACTGAACGATATCGGCACGGGAATTAGAACGACCGAATACTACTCAGTCTAATAACTCACCCCAACCCATTGTTACAGGTAAAATCGTCGATTACGCCTAATCACGATTAAACCGTGACAGTATCCCATAATTAGTATAATGACCCGAAAACTGTATAAATAGAAGGGTGTAAAGAGTCTGTGAAAGACATGCTTTGCTCAAATAAAATAACAAAGTTCTTACCTGTAATAATAATATTACTCGTGGATACACTATTATTTTATTATTTCTGGTCAACTTCAAAGCTTGTGAGCAAGTTACAAGTAGTGGATAGAGATGTTAAAAGTCCGGTCTGGTTCAACTCGACTCTAGAAGTTGAGTTTTAATTATGACTCCGTCTAAAGTCAGGTTCGAGTTCAGACTCATTC